ATTACAAAGCTAGCTTCCCCAATTATCACCTCTAATATCATTAACTCACAGACATTTACCTCCCCCTCCCCCATCTGTTCTGAAATGTGATTTGTCCTTTTCATATGTGTTCATTTTTTTAATTGTATCCTTTGGTATATCTGGTTGTGCCAATTTTCTTCCACTATTTGATCTGAGGAAGTGGGTCTGGCCCACGAAAGCTCATCACCTAATAAACCATCTTGTTAGTCTTTAAAGTGCTCCATAGTCCTGTGTTTTATATATTTGTGTTCGTCTCGAAGGTCCCCCGGGACTGCTCGTAATTTTTAAAGTTACAGATTAACACAGCGACCCCTCTGTGGCTTTTTTGAATGCAGTTATACTTTAGACCATGAAGCAGAATGTCCTTGGTAATTTTTACCCTATCTCTAACTAATTGTTTTCATTATCCTCCCATTGACTACTTGTCCTTTGACTCCAATAAACCTCTGGTTTCCCCTAATGATTGTGACAACTGATTTCAAAAGTTAACTATTTGTGAAAATGCATTTCCTTGTATCCGTTTTTAAAGTGCCCGCCCTTTCATGAAAAGAGGTTAAAACGACTGGGACTTTTCAGTTTAGAAAAGAGGGGACTGAGGGGGGATATGATAGAGGTCTATAAAATCATGAGTGGTGTGGAGAGGGTGAATAAAGAAAAGTTATTTATTAGTTCCCATAATAGAAGAACTAGAGGACACCAAATGAAGTTAATAGGTAGCAGGTTTAAAACTAATAAAAGAAAGTTCTTCTTCACACAGCGTGTAGTCAACCTGTGGAACTCCTCGCCAGAGGAGGCTGTGAAGGCTAGGACTAGAACAGAGTTTAAAGAGAAGCTAAATAATTTCATGGAGGTTAGGTCCAGCACCAAAAATGAAGAGGAGACGTTTTTCTGTCTCCAAGAGCAGCACAGGGAATATCTCCCTTCTTGGTTACACCCCAGTCTTCATGTCTCTGCTTGTTCACAAGTTGGACTCGGGTAGGAATGCCTCCTTTTCCACGGGCTCTTTTTGGCACCCCGTGTAAAGGAAACATTAACTCCACGAATAAAAAACGAAACGTTCAAGTTGTTTCTCGCTGGAAGGCTTTGAAATGAACCCCCCCCCATACCTCTCCACCACCTTCTCCCCCCCTTTTTTTATAGTCCTAAAATTTTGAAACAAAAATGTCACTAAATTTCTTTGAATCAAAAATGCGATTCAGATTTTTCATTGGCTGAGACCCGGGTTCAGATTCCTTCTCACAGGCTACGTCTACACTACGAGTTATCCTGGCAAAAAATATGCTAATGAGGGGCTCATTTGCATGAGTCACAATCTCATTTGCATATTTTCTGCCGAGCCGTTTTTGTGCAAAAACCAGCCATGTGGCCATTTTCTTTTTGCGCAAAAACCCCTTTTCCCACAGATCCTTATGCCCCAAAAAGGGAGGTCTACCGGTATCGGGGCTGGACACGCGTTTCTTTCGATCGGAGGTCTCCTATCAAGAATCGGCGATGGAACTACGGGTAGCAGGCTAGTGTGCTGGCTTTTCTACGGTCCTTCCCTAGGTTGGGAGGGCGTGTTTTGTCTCCTTTCACAGGCGCTGACTTTGGGGTTTGCCAGCGGGTGTCACACACTGGCTCCGCCTCCTCCCCTGAAGCTCCACCCCTCCCCTCAATTATTCCCCTTTATTGGGCTCTGGGGAGGCCACATCTGGAGTGTTTTGTCCAGTTTTGGGCCCCCCACTACAGGAAGGATGTGGGTGCATTGGAGAGGGTCCAGTGGACGGCGACCAAAATGATTAGGGGGCTGGAGCACATTCTGTGTGCGGAATACATTTTGTTCTGTGCGTCAAGACAGGGGTGGTGTGCACCACCAGGACAAACACAGGCTGCCGGCTTTGGGTGCTGTGAGTGCTCTGCAAATCAGCTGGGTGGCACTGGGTGGCCGCCCAAGGGCTCAGCTTCCGGGGAATCCTGGCCCCACGTGAAGAGTCACCCACATTCATGCCCGCTTTGCCGCGTGGGTTTTCTGGTGCTTACTAAGATGTGAGCTCCGCTGGAAACTTTTCCCACAGGCCAGGCACCTATAGGGCCTCTCGCCCGTGTGGGTCCTCTGATGCGCGGCCAGGTTGGAGTTGACACTGAAGCGTTTCCCGCAGGCCAGGCACTGGTAGGGCCTCTCGCCCGTGTGCGTTCTCCGGTGCACAGCGAGGTGGGAACGCCGGCCGAAGCCTTTCCCGCAGTCCGAGCACTTGAAAGGTTTCTCCCCCGTGTGGCTTCGCCGGTGCACCAGGAAGCGGGAGTTCTGCAGGAAGGTCTCCCCGCAGTCCGGGCAGGTGTAGGGCTCCTCCCCGGTGTGGATCCCCTGGTGCCTGATGAGGTGTGACTTCTGGGTGAATTCCCGCCCGCAGGTGAGGCACCGGTGGGGCTTCTCGCCCAAGTGGAGACCCTGATGCCGAATCAGGTGCGAGCTCTGAATGAAGCGTTTCCCCGTGTGGAGCCGCTGGTGGGACAGGAGGTCGGAGCTCTGCACGAAGCGCTTCCCGCAGGCCGGGCAGGGGAAGGGCCGCTCGCCCGTGTGGTGTCGCCGGTGCGTGAGCAGGTTGGAGCTGAGGCCGAAGCGTTTCCCGCAGTCCGGGCAGGGGAAGGGCCGCTCCCCGGTGTGGGTTCTCTGGTGGGTGAGCAGGTTGGAGCTGAGGCGGAAGCTTTTCCCGCACTCGGCGCATTTGAAGGGCCTTTCTCCCGGGAGCGTCCCTGGAGGGCCAGGCCGGCGTGAGCCACCGTTCAAACCTTTCCCGGACTCAGCGGGTGCGGTTTTATTCCCTCCCATCCGGATCCTGTGTCGGTCCCCTTGATATTCTCTCCCCCCACAAACGGATTGACCTGCTTTTTTTTTTCTAGCTGCCTCTCTTACGACTCTGCAAGAAACTCCCTTCAACCCTTCCTGGGAACATCTCGGGCGGCTCCACTTTTTGATGGCTTTCTCCTGAGAATTCTCCTCCTTCGTTCTCACTCACAGGCCCAATCACCTGCAGGGGGAAGAGAGAGAAACGCAATCCACACGGGAGTCGTTCCCTGGGTCGTAAAGAGAAAGACGACATCAGAACCTGCAGGCGAAACTGAGGGACCGGATTCTGCCTGCACATCTCCGTGCAAACACTCTGGGGCGGTGTTTCTCAACCCGTGGTACTAGGACCCTCAGGGGTACTCGAGAGAAGTCAACAAATGAAATTTGGAGAAAAGTGAAGGTCTATTTTAAGTTTGAACAAAAACCAGGACTATGTAGCACTTTAAAGACTAACAAGATGGTTTATCAGGGGATGAGCTTTCGTGGGCCGGACCCACTTTTTTATCACTATTTTACGTTTGACAGCGCTTTATTATGTTTGTACTTTTTACACCCCAAAAAAGTCATCACCTGCCTGGCGACGCATGTTTGTACTTTTTACACCCCAAAATTGTCATCGCCTGCCTGGCGACGCTGAAGTTGTTTGAACAAATGTGTTGCAACAGTAGAAAAAAATGTTGTGTGTCTGAAAACTGTAGGTTCTGGGGGAAGTTATAATTTTTTAAAAATGTTGTGTGTCTGAAAACTGTAGGTTCTCGGGGTACTTCTAATTATTTTTTTTTTAAAGGAGGTACTTATATATTTTTTTGAAAAGGGAGTACTTTATAAAAAAGGGGGCATGTTACTTTATAAAAAAAGGTTGAGAAACTCTGCTGTAGGGGGCATGTCTAGGCTAGGGAGTCATTTCAAAAGAAGATATTTTGAAATCATCACACCCGAAATAATCTCAAAATCACACAATTCCTCTTCTTCTCAAGCGGGAGTTGTTGTTTCACACATGTTTCACCAGCAGAAGTGTTGGTGTGGATAGCTAAGGCTGCTCGTTAGGGGTCATTTAATTATGCCAGCCAGAGAGCTCTTTCTTGCTGGCACTGAGTGTCGACTCAGGAAACCTTGCCCTTGTAAGATCCATAGTGTAGACAGCGTCTAACTTTGTGTCTCTCTGGGCATGTCTGCCCTGGGGCATCATTTCATTTCAAAATAACAGCTCCCCGAAATAACAATTCTGAAATTGCGCGATTCCTCTTCACAAGCGGGAATTGTTATTGCACAGTAACAAGCCCCTTCTTTCGAAATGACTCGGCAGATGCCCACGCTACCAAGCCTGGGATATGTCTAGACTGGCATGATGTTCCGCAAATGCTTTTAACGGAAAACTTTTCCGTTAAAAGCATTTGCGGAACATCATGCCAGTCTAGACATATCCCAGGCTTGGTAGCGTGGGCATCTGCCGAGTCATTTCGAAAGAAGGGGCTTGTTACTGTGCAATAACCACTCCCGCTTGTGAAGAGGAATCGCGCAATTTCAGAATTGTTATTTCGGGGAGCTGTTATTTTGAAATGAAATGATGCCCCAGGGCAGACATGCCCAGAGAGACACAAAGTTAGACGCTGTCTACACTATGGATCTTACAAGGGCAAGGTTTCCTGAGTCGACACTCAGTGCCAGCAAGAAAGAGCTCTCTGGCTGGCATAATTAAATGACCCCTAACGAGCAGCCTTAGCTATCCACACCAACACTTCTGCTGGTGAAACATACGTTGGTCTCGGGGCAGCGTTCCCTGTAAGGCAGGCACGGCCAATCCGGAAAGCTTCCAACACAGACCAGTTGACTAGCAAAGCGCACCCCAGCTACGTTTTGTTTCTACTGGTGGTGCGCATTCGCACATGCCTCGGTGCACATAAAAAAAATATTCTGCACACAGATGGGAAAAAAATCCGCACGTGGATGGAAAAAGCTGAGAGGGAACTTTGGTCAGGGGTGTGATTTTTTTTTCACACCCCTGACTGAAAAAAGTTTTCACAACCAAGTGGTAGTGTAGACAAAGCCTCAGGAAGGGCTTTTAATGTTAAACACTTGGGCCTTATTTCTAAGCCGAACTTCTCTGGCTTTTAACTTCCCACTATCAGTTCTTGTTCTGCCTTTTCCTGCTCGACGAAAATCGTGTTAAGCACCTGATATGTTCTCCCCGTAATCAAGTCAATCCTTCAGGGCAACAGCACCACAAAATCGAGGGAATTGTCTACAATTCAGTAATGACAGGTGGCAAAACATCAGTGAATACGGAGATTTTTTTTTAAACCGGTATGAGACGCGAGTGAGAAACTGAGGCAAAGTGACGTCTCTTCACGGATGGAACAGAACCAATGGCAGAATGGGGTGGGTTGTTACATTGCTAACACCGACTGAGAGGAAAAATACGCAATGTTTGTGCAATGTTTGTACCGAGGGCGAAGCAGATGGAAATCAAATAGGGTTTTATATCCAAATCCAATGAGAAATAGGGTTTTATGTCCAAATTCAATGAGAAAATGGGTTTTATATCCAACATCAGTGAGAAAGAGGGTTGCGTTTTAGACTCAAATTCAATGAGAAATGAGTTTTTAAACCCAAATCCAATAAGAAATAAAGTTTTAGACCCAAATTAAATGAGAAATGGGGTTTTTAATTCAGATTCAATGAGAAATAAGGTTTTAGACCCAAAACCAATAAGAAATAGGTTTTATATCCAAATTCAATGAGAAATTAGGGGTGTGTCCAAATTCAATGAGAAAGAGGGTTTTATATCCAAATTCAGTGAGAAATAGGGTTGGGTTTTAGACTCAAATTAAATGAGAAATGGAGTTTTAGACCCAAATCCAATAAGAAATACGGTTTTAGACTCAAATTCAATGAGAAAGAAGGTTTTTAATTCAGATTCAATAAGAAATAAGGTTTTAGACCCAAATCCAATAAGAAATAGGTTTTATATCCCAATTCAATGAGAAAGAGAGCTTTATTCTATAACCAAAATCAGTGGGAAATAGGGTTGGGTTTTATATCCAAATTCAATGAGAAAGAAGGTTTTTAATTCAGATTCAATAAGAAATAAGGTTTTAGACCCAAATCCAATAAGAAATAGGTTTTATATCAAAATTCAATGAGAAAGAGAGTTTTATAACCAAAATCAGTGGGAAATAGGGTTGGGTTTTATATCCAAATTCAATGAGAAATTAGATTTATGTCCAAATTCAGTGAGAAAGAGAGTTTTGTATCCAAATTCAGTGAGAAATAGGGTTGGGTTTTAGACCCAAATCCAATGAGAAATAGGGTTTATGTCCACACAGGGAGCAGATGCTGTCTGAATGTGGCCAGAAACCTGGACCTTATGCTGCACTGCTTTGTGCTGCAATGTCGCCAGACCACTTACTGCTGGCTTGGCGTGGAAAGGTGTCCTACTGCAGAGGACAGAAGAAGATGGCCTCCCCAGAAACCTTGTGAGAAGGATTTCAGAGTTCCTCTGTGGGAGCTTTATGGAGATGTGCAGTGAGGATTCCCATTCCATCTCCAGATACATTAACGAGCTGTTCTGGGGAGCCGCCACGGTGTAGACACACTGGCCGTCACAGATCACACCAAATTGCCTTAACTCACTTGTAGCATGATAAAAAATGTGAACTCACCAGAGGTGCCCTCCCTGGCATGAGGGCCCCTCTGTGAGATGTCCTGGGAAGAAGGGATTGTCTCCAAAGTTATAAAAAGGTCCTGGCTATTGGTGAGATCAGTTGCCCCTCTTGCCTGTTGACCGTTTTCCTCCCTCTCTTCTTCATCTACACTGTCGTCCATGCTGCTGCTCAAGGCTGACAGAGGAGTGTCTTTGGAGAAATCTGTGGACTGGCTAGGGAAGCTGGTTGGGTGTCCCCTCCCCCCCAAGATCGCATGCAGCTGCTCATAAAAATGGTATGTTTGTGGCGATGATCCAGATTGTCCATTTGCCTCCTTTGTCTTCTAGTATGACTGCCTCAGTTCCTTCATTTTCAAACAGCACTGCCGGGCATCCCTGGTATGTCCTTTCTCCACCCTTGCAGTCTTGGATTAGATATCTCTATTGCTTTTGCTGGTTTGTCGTTCTGCCCATACAGCAATGAGATCCAGGATCTCCTGCACGCTCCATGCTGGTGCTCGTCTGCGACCTGGAAATTCATGGTCAGGTGTGCCACTGTGGTGTGCTAACTACTTTGAGGTCTGCTTGATATGCTGGCCGCATAGGAAATTAAATTCACATTTTCACAGAGCTTTTCCTGTTTCCCCTGGAGAACAGTCAACTTGAAAGTCCTGGCCAGAAAGGTCATATCAGGACACTGTGGGACATATCCCAGAGGCCAAGAATGTCTGCTTTCACAGCACTGCATCTGCACTACAATAAAGTCGACCATGCAAGGTCGAATTTAGTGTTACTCCTGGTGAAAAGGTTTCCTCAGACACCTGCAGCTAGGAAAGGCCCTGAAGAAAACAATTCTCCAGAGGATGTCTTTGAAGAAAGAAGAAAACACCGGGGGTATGTCTATACTGCAGAGTTTTTCCAGAAAAACAGCTGTTTTTCTGGAAAAACTACACTTACATCCACACCGCAATTGTGTGCTTTCAACAGAAAGTCAGAAGATCGCAGGGTTTTTTTCTGACAGCAGTAAACCTCTTTCTACTAGGAAGAAGCCTTTTTCTAAAGAGCTCTTTCAGAAAAAGACATGTGTGGATGGGGGAAGAGTGTGGTTTTTTTTGTTTTTTTTGTTTTTTGTTTTTTGTTTTTTTGTTTTTTGAAAGAAGAGGTCTCCAGGAAATAACACAGGTATCCTGGTGTCCACTCCGTCCCGAATAATCACAGCCAAGTGCTTTTGCTCAAGAGCATCCGTGCCAACGTAGCCACTCTCTTGCACAGGAAAGCTCTCATGACCATTTTAGCCACAGGCCTTTCTTGCACAAGAAATTCCTGTTGCCTGTCTACA